GTAGCGAATGGGAAACTTGATTTATCAATAAAATTTTCCCCTCGCGGATCACGCAATCATAGAAATTTACAACGTGTTTTTATTTTTAATTGAATGTTCAATATCCCATATAAGTTTACCACGTGTTACCAAATAATTTGACTCAGAAAATGAAACGCGAAGGGATATGCGAATCCCCATAAATTCTTAGATGCTCTTGTTAATTATTAATTATATATTATTTTAAATATTGAGTATTGTTTGTTTAAGGAAAAAATATGTGTTGTTTTAAATGATTTAAAGTTGTTTCAATTTAAGTGAGAGAAAAAATAAATCATGGGAGGAGAGAGTGAATAAAAAATAATAAAGCTGTGGGTTTTATTTATTTATGAGAGTGAAATAACACAATTTATATCATTTAAAAAGACAGACAATTTTCCCATTGTTTAATTAAATTAAAGTACACTTTGTGTATGACTTCAATATACTATTTTTTAAAAATAATATGCTTTATTTATTTACTTATTTAAAAAAACGTGTCATTTTTTTAAATTTAAATTTAAATTCGGTTAAACTAGTTATGCTTTTTTAAATTTTAACTAAATATTTTTTATTAACGAAATTATTGGCAGCATTAATATAGAAAATGTTGTTAACTTTTTTAATCATATTTTTGATATGATAGATAGATTATCATATCTTACTATTATCTATTGTTTCAGTCAACAAAATATTGATAAATTTGTTTCGTTTGCTTATTTTAACCTAACCACAACTTAACAAGTTATTTTAAAGGAGGCTAGGGTTAAGATAGAAAAGGATAAGATAAGAAACAATACACCTTTCTGTTGGGAACTCGGTTCCCTCAAGTCGGCTAAACAGACTTTTAGCGAAAGTCAATCAACAGATCCTTGATCTTGGATCTCGGCAATCTACCTCGGCCTGAACTTCACCAGGTCGGGCAGCGCAGCGAAAAAACGAAAAACAAAAACATGGGAGAGAGAGAAGAACACAAGCAGTTTTAACGTGAGAAAATCTTTTCCAATGAAAAAGTAAAAACTCACAGGACCTAGTCCACATCAAACGTTCACTATGAAAATAATGGATACAAAGAATCAAAAAACACCAATGTGGTGGTTAACACAACCTCTCCAACAATGGTGATAATCAAACTACCCTAGAGATATTTCACTCAAACTTTCTCTAGAGATCTCTCAAATACAAAGCTTAAAGCTTTGCTCTCAAGTCTCTCAAATGATTTTCTCTCAAATTTTTTCTCTCTCTCTCAATCTCTAACATATCCTCCACCCACAACTAATGAATACATAGAAGAGGTGAAATCTCGGTTTTAAGGTTTAGGGTTTTTGGGAAACCCCTCAATGGGCTTGGGCTTGGCATTGAGGGAGGAAGCCCAACAAATCTCCCCCTCCGACTTCAATTCGTCGGCTTCAGCATGAACCTGACTCCTTCACAACTGTCTTCAAATTTTCTTGTTGGAATCGGCTTTGTCATCATGTCGGACCAATTTTGGTCAGTGTGCACTTTGACGAGTTCGAGCTCTTCACCTTCCACCATATCCCGGATCCAGTGATACCTCACATCAATGTGCTTGGTGCGGGAGTGATAGGTCGAATTCTTCGCAAGATAGATTGCGCTTTGATTGTCACAACTCAGCTCGTACTTGTCTTGATCAAGGCCGAGTTCAATGAGGAACTTATTCATCCATAACATCTCTTTGCTTGCCTCAGTAAGAGCAATGTACTCAGCCTCGGTTGTCGATAGTGCAACACACTTTTGAAGTCTGGATTGCCAAGAGACATTTCCTCTGGCAAATCTCATCATGTATCCTGTCGTCGATTTCCTCAAGGCGGAATCTCTCCCTAAATCAGAATCCGAGTAGCCTTGCAACTCGACATAATATCCCTTGATTATTATCGAAAAAGCATTGTTTGCGTACTTTAAATTATAATTTTACACGTATATTATACGAGACGGTTATATTTATTATCATTTTAATTTTATTATTCTTATTACATATTTGATTATTGTTGGATTAACTTGAAATTAGTGGTTAAAAAGGGGGGGGGATTAATTGCCATTGATTTCAAATTTATCCAATAATAAACAAATAAGTAGTAATAATAGTATGGCTAAAATAATAATAAGTATAACATTCCCTTTTTATAAACTTGAGATGTAAGCATTACCCACAATAATCGATATCAAAATATAAACTTTTAAACCAATATAAAGTATTAAGTTACCATTACAAAATATAAGAACCACAACCAAATATAATTATATTATAGTACATAACTTCATAATTAAATAAAAAAAAATTTATTAATAATATTTTTTGACTTTAACATATACAGTCTCTATTTTAGGCTTTGCCATTTGCATTTGAAAATACATTTAGCGGGATATTTATCTCAGCAAAGATAACAATCAAATTTTTTTCTCTCACAAAAATATAGTATTTCTGGTCATAACTTAATATGAAAAAATTCTTAATGAATGGTTTTAAATGAATGAAATTTTGATAAGCATAAATTTTTTCTCTGTGTAAAAGCTTTATACATTGCAACGACGTCCTCGTGCCTCGTCTTATCTAAAGAAACCCATTCCTTGATCAAAGAAACACATTTTTTTTGCCATACACATACTTGGATTACCTTTTACGAGGAATTTCATAAATTTTTAGACAGAAAAAACATGTTAATATCTTCTAAAGATTCCCATAAGTTTTTTAATAAATTCATAATTCATAACACATCTATAAATTTGACATCACAATGCAAACAAGAAATATTGAATTGCCGTGAAAAAACTAGAAAAAATATAAATTATAAGAATTTTTACCCAACAAAATTTGTCATATAAAACTTATCGTGCAAAAATTTCCTAGACAATCTTTTAAGATAAAAATTAAAGACATAATATATAAATATAAAGAACATAAAGAAACATAAATCAACGACTGGTTATATACATGTACAATATTATTTAACACATATGGTATTATTTTCGTATGTTACAATACTCATATATGATAATTATAAATGTAAACCTATGAGTTTATTCAAGATTATATTTTTTAATATGCAGGTTAAACGATAACAAGAATACACAAGGATCTTGAGAAATCATGTTTTTACATTTAGTAAACAATGATGAGAACACTAACATTTGTCCATGGTGATGACAACAAATATTCAATTAAGAACCTTTTCTGTTGAATGGCTTTTGACAGCAAACTTTAGACTGAGAACTCTTGATGCGGACTGGTTTTTCTCAATCTCTTCACCCTCTTATTTTAGGTCCCTCTTTTATTTTTTATGGCAAAAACTCAGAACCTCTTAAAATGGACAGAGATAAAGAATTTTACCATAATCTTTATATAATTGCTTTCATCAATCAAAGTACTATATTGTCCCTTAATAACATCCCACTAATTAGGCCACTAATAAACAGAATTATCTTTTAGCCCTTCTCATATTCAAATCACGTGAGCCACATCTAACGAATATATCTAATAATAAATTCAAAAAATATAAATTTATTGAATTATAAATAAGTGCGTCTTAAAAAAAAATTAGTTTTTTTGTTTTTGTTTTTGGAAAGAGATATCATAGATATTTTTAAGCTAGTATATAATAAGTGTTTCTTTTGTAAAAAAGTATATTATGATTAATGGTGCTCAAGATCCATTTTAACCAATAACTTGTAGCTAATTAAATTGGGTTTAGATCCCAAAAATTATTTTTGATTTATTTTATGGTTAAAATTAAACTTTTAATTTTTAAAGAATTGAGAATAAATTGATATCTCATGCACAATATGACAATATGTTTTATATTGATGTAGTTAATTTCATGACTTTATTGTAAAATATATAATAGTTTTAGTTTCTTAATTCTATATATTTCATGACTTTATTATGAATAATGCCAAAAATGTACGCTTTGTTTATTCTCGGTTCGGTTCAATCTCGAGCAATCATCAATCAGGTTGGAGAATCCAATGGGATAGCCCAGTCAAAATGTAAATATTTTTTGGGCTTCTGTTCCATATGTGATCCAAAAAATATTGTATCATGCTTTATTTTACTGTAACTTTTAATTTTTTTTTTTTTATTTTTTTTTGAAATCGTTTGGAATAAAGTTAAAAAGATTTAAAAGAAATTTATAACATTCCAGAGTTAAAAATGTTACATATACTCTAAATTTGTAATTAATTTTAACTTACAGTATATATAGCTTTACTCAAAAACAATTATAATTTTATTAAACATAGTTGTAAGTTTCTTCAAATTGCTTTTAAAATAATACACTGTCTATACTTTTTCAAATGACTTAGGTGGATCCATTAGCCACCTCGTGTAAAAAATATTTGAAGCTTTACTCAGTAGTCAGTATTCGAGCAATGAAACCACCTATCTTCGACATTTTCACTAAAATACATTCCATAATAATTATATTATGAGTTTAATTTGGAAGGATGTACAATATCTACCAGTAGATCTTGAGATCGATTCAGTAGATCAAAATTACATCAGCCATGGCTAATGATTTCATTTGAAAAAAGATTAAAATAAACAAGTTCATTGACATTGTATGTAACCCCCTCTCTCCTCCAAAAAAATAAAAAACTATATTGCTATTTATAGTTAACGTCAACCATTGATTTAATATGCCAGGCGTGATTTCATATGGAAACTAAAATTTATGGTTTAAAAACTGGATTAACGTAAAAAATACGTAAATTTTTTAAATAAAATTACTTGGGAAAAACGACTCGTTTAATAAAGTAGCTAGTCTCCACAGACTCCACTTAAATCAGTTAACAAATGGAGGAATGGTTCACGTGATTTCATAATGTTCAAGTTGTTGATCTAATTGGTTTAAATTAATAGTAAAAAATAAGGATAGAGTCAGACACAGCGTGTATTTAAGAGGGCCTATGGGGAAGGTCCATTCCACACAGCACACAGCAAGCTCTAAAGCTTGAGCTATTTCGCCATGGCTTCCACCATGAAATTTATGCTTTTCTCTGTGCTCTCCCTCATTTCTTTCCAAGCAGTAGTCTCGATTGCCCCATTACAATTTCAACATCCACTAGACCCTTTAACCAAAGAAGAGATAACTCTCGTTCAAACCATAGTCCTAAAGAAGTACCCTACCTCAAAGAACAGATTGGCCTTCCACTATATTGGCCTTGATGACCCTGACAAAGCTGCAGTCCTTAAATGGGAATCACTCAAACCAACTCTCATGACAATCCCTCGCAAATCCTTCACCATTGCTATCATCAATAGCCAGAGCCACGAGATCTTAATTGATCTAAAGGCAAGGCGCATGCTCTCTGACAATGTTTACACTGGACATGGTTTCCCTACCCTATCCGTTGAGGAACAAACCGCTGCCATTGAGCTGCCACTGAAATATGGTCCATTCATTGAGTCAGTGAAGAAGAGAGGCTTGAACCTCTCTGAGGTTGTATGTTCTACTTTCTCAATGGGGTGGTTTGGAGAAACGAAGGCCGCGAGGACCGTTAGGGTCGACAGCTTCATGAAAGAAAGTTCTCCCAATATCTGGGTGAGGCCTATTACTGGAATCATAATAGTGGTTGATCTTGAACTCATGAAGATTGTTGAGTACCATGACAGAGGTGTTGAACCAGTTCCTACGGCAGAGAATACTGAATACAGAGCTGCATTTCTGAAGCCACCATTCGGTCCTAAACAGAAGAGTCTGGCCACCCATCAACCACAAGGTCCAGGCTTCCAGATCAGCGGTCATAGTGTTAGGTAATTAAATAATTAGATAAATTATATGATTAATTTGTTCGTTATATTTTATTATTTATATATTATTGCATAAGCCATGGTTAATTTAATTGAGATTAACCTATATATATATATATATATATATTATATATAAATTATATATCAGCTGGGCCAACTGGAAGTTCCATATAGGATTTGATGTGAGAGCTGGTGCTATAATTTCATTGGCATCAATTTACGATCTGGAGAAGCATAAGTCACGTCGAGTATTATACAAAGGGTACATTTCTGAACTGTTCGTGCCATACCAAGACCCAACAGATGATTTTTACTTCAAGACATTCTTTGATGCTGGAGAGTTTGGGTTTGGTCTCTCTACTGTCTCTTTGGTGCCCAACCGCGATTGCCCATCCAATGCACACTTCATAGATACATACATTCACACAGGTGATGGTAGCCCCAGCCTATTGAAGAACGCTGTCTGTGTATTTGAAAAATATGGCGATATCATGTGGCGCCACACAGAAACAGGCATTCCTAATGAAACGGTAAAAATCCTTAACACAACTTTAATTAATCTAATCACGTCACGTGTTTTTTTCTTTTAATTCTTTTGTTGTTGTTGTAAATATCTTACGAATATAAACGTGGCTTTTGACAGTTCGTGGAGGCTAGGACTGAAGTAAACTTAATAGTAAGAACGGTGGTCACAGTAGGCAACTACGACAATATTATAGATTGGGAGTTCAAAGCAAGTGGCTCGATCAAGCCCGCGGTATGTATCATTTCACTTTTCATATAAATTTTTTTTTTTTTATAAACGCTTACAAATTACACTATATTCTCTCGAGAGAACACTGATTATACTATGTTCTCCTATAAGAACATAGTGTAATTTGTAAAAAAAAATTAAAAAACTTTGTAAACAGATTTATTCTCTAATTTGAGATAGTTTATAAAAGTAAGTTATGCTTTTGTAATTTAATATTTGTTTGACCCATTTTTTAAGGCACGGTGCAAGATATCAAATTTAAATATTTTATTAAAAAATGGTCCACCAACAACTACATAATTTTCTTGTCGATACACAATATAATTTTGTATAAAACAATGATTTTGCTTTTTGGACCCATGGATACCACGTGGTTCACTCCCAAACCCCAAGGGACTTTGCTACGCATGCCATTTGAACTTACATATTTGAATGTTTTTATTGGAATCGAAGTGCAAAATTCAAAATTATAAATTATGAATTAGTTTTGTGTAATTAGTGATTGTTAGAATTAAATAAGCTTTATGTTTATGTTTCTTATCCCCATTTGACGTATGCTTTGTCAAAACTCTATAACTGCGCGCCACTCTTCTTAATTTATTTGTATGGTTCAATTAATATATACAGATAGCACTGTCTGGCATACTGGAAATTAAGGGAGCGGATATTAAGCACAAGAATGAGATTAAGGAAGATCAACATGGTATCTTGGTGTCAGCAAACAGCATTGCCGTATACCACGACCACTTCTACATATACTATCTTGACCTTGACATTGATGGCGTTGAAAACTCCTTCGAGAAGACCACTTTGAAGACAGTAAGAGTGACGGATGGAAGTTCAAAGAGAAAGAGCTATTGGACAACTGAGTCTGAATTTGCCAAGACTGAATCTGATGCAAAGATTATAATTGGGGCAACCCCATCTGAGCTTGCAATTGTGAATCCTAACAAGCACACCGCCGTTGGAAATGACGTCGGATACCGTTTGATTCCAGCACTGCCAGCTCATCCCCTTTTAACGGAGGATGATTACCCACAAATCCGTGGTGCATTTACCAACTATAATGTGTGGGTCACTCCTTATAATAGGACTGAGAAGTGGGCTGGTGGACTCTTTGTTGATCACAGCCATGGAGATGATACTTTAGCTGTTTGGACCAAAAAGTATGATAAAATTATTATTTATTTATTTTTACTAATTATGATTTGAGATTAACGTTTTAAATTTCATATGAAAAATTTTATATATAGGTCTAGATATGTTAATTATGATTCATGATCTGAGTAACCTTACAGTATTTGTTTGAATTGAAAATAATTGCAGGAATAGAGACATTGTGAACAAGGACATTGTGATGTGGCACGTAGTGGGAATTCATCACGTTCCGTGCCAGGAAGACTTCCCGATGATGCCATTGTTGAGCACTGGATTTGAGCTGAGGCCAACCAATTTCTTTGAGAGGAATCCGGTTCTTAAGACCCTTTCTCCAAAGGATGTTGCATGGCCTGGCTGCCACAAGTAAACCCAGCCCATGATGTTTATTTCCTTTTAGCGTCAAACAAGTGTGTAAACGCATTGTCGTTTTGGAAAAGTCTAAAATAATGTTTGTTTATTGCTTGTGGGAGAATAATGTATTGCCAGCAACTAATTTTTATATGAATGAAAGGTTTACTTGCCAGCTGGTTCTTGCTTTACCTCATGTGTTCAAGATATTCCTTAATTAACCTCACGGTTTTCTTTCTTTCGTTTTTGTTTTTAAAATTATATTTACTGCCGTAAGAATCGTAAGATCCATGACCCCGGAATTTTATACAAGGCAAGAGCCGAGTGTCACACTCCTCTACAGCTGTAAATTGAGTATAAGTTTCCATAAATTGTTTTTGAAAAAAATATTGTTGTCTAGAAACATGTTTAATTGACTAATTGAAAATAAATTATTGTTTGTGATTAACATCGATCAAATATTAAAATTATAAGAAAACAAAAACAGCAATAAAATATTGTGTTAGGTACTCAACATTGTTTAAATACCACTCACTAGCAAACCCGTATAAGGTAAAGAACATAAAAAATGGAAAAGATCATTTCTGGGGATCGAAAATCTACACGAATATTCTTTGTTTGATTATCATTTTTTAAAATTTAAGCAAAGTGTTGACAATTACTTGTAATATATGAAGTGTAAATTGAAGATAAATCATGATTTGAAAAAATATAAATTCAATGAAGAGAAATTAACCATTCAATAAAATAAATGAGAATATATGAAAAGATATAATCTTATTTGGTGCAGTGAGAGATATAGTCCAGCGGTTCTGTGATCCTTAACATGGCGGAGCTTGAGTGATTGCCCAAGTTAGATTATATGTAAAATACGAAAAAGGGGGTCAAGAACTCAAGATGGAGAGAGATCCTCCTCCCTAATAAAAAGGTATTATCACCTTATATTGAACTGGTCCCGCGAAAATAAAATTTGTTACAAGCTGCGTTGAGGTCTTGAGGATCTACTTCCACGGCGTTGCACCGACACGGACAAGCGACATGTGACACGACATGACACTTCGATACGTTAATTCTAAAAAAATGTGAATTTTGACACGTTGGGATACATTTTAATTAAATAATATTTTTAATTTATGAAATATATATTATATTTAGTATTCAATAATTTAGTTTTATTTTCATAAAAATATATATTATAAATAATTAATGATTAATATTTAATTATAATCCCATTTTATTCAAATATAAAAATGATTTATTATGTTTTATATTTTAAATAAGTGAAATACATTTTTTTCGGTAGACAGTCAAATACATATTTAAATAAAAGCTGTTGTTGCACAAATATATAAATATATATATATATATATATATATATATATATATATATATATATTATATCTTATTCATTTGAAAAATAAATAAAATATATTAAAGGAGGGTGTTGTTGCACGGACTCATATTTAGGCTCTTTCATCACTTTGGAGTTTGTTTCATTTAAATATACTAATTTGGTATCCAGCTAGGAGATATTACTATTTGGGATCTTTGAGTGACGCATGGGGGACCCAGCGACTTTAAATGACGCCCCCGTCACTCCCTGGCACTCATGTGAATTTGATTTTTTTTTTCTGAAACCAGTGCCGCACACCACCCCCCACGGCACCAATTATATTATTTTCAGTAGTGCCGCCCCTACCCCCCACGACACCAGTTATATTTTTTTAATCCAAAACCACTCAGACACAAAACCACGACGCTAGAAGTGAGAGTTTGGCAATTCTGTTTTTGCAAATCGCAACTAGAAGGGAGAAAGGTTCACAGATTTTACATGTTGTGTGCTTGTCTTGCTCAATAAAGTGAGTTAAGGGAATGGGACATCCGTGTCATTTATCCGATTCATTGGCTTCCTTTGTTTTTGTGGTCTTGTTTGTTCCTCTTTTTGTGTCGGTGTTTTTCGCTCATTTTCTATCTCTAGGAGTTTTTCTGAAATCAGATTTAAGATGAATAAAAAGGAAGATTTATGGCTACCAAGCTCTATGACCTTCATAGAGCTAGTCACAAGAAGGTTTATGGCTATTTTGCTTCAAAAAATGAAAGCAGAAAACAACATTGAAACTAACCTCTCTCCTGAAGCAACACCAACAACAACTGAAAGCAAGCTAACGAGGAAGAGATAGTTAAAGAGTCCAAGAAGGGCAAAGTGCATGAGTGTCCAATTTGCCTTAAGGTTTTTCCATGTGGGCAAGCCTTGGGTGACCATAAGAGATCTCATTTGGTTGGTGGGTCTGAGAATATAAACTTTCAAACAATTGTAGTTTAGGAACCTGTCGCATAAGTTAGGGACTTCCTTCATCTTAATCTTACTATGCTTTCACTCACTTCCCATCTTGCATTCTTTCCACTATTTTTTTTTTATTAAAATGATTCAATGCAGTGAATCAAAACGGACGACATTCACTAAAAAAATAAGTCAGTGTCGTATAAGTAGGCGGTAGGGCGGCATAATTGTTTGGGAGGTGGGGGGATGGATTAGTGCCGTGGGGGGTAGGGGGCGGCACTGGGAAATAAAAATATAATTGGTGCCGTGGGGGGTAGTATGCGGCATTGGTTTCGGAAAAAAAAATCAAATTCACGTGAGTGCCGCGGGGTGACGGAGGTGTCACTTAAAGTCGTTGGATCTCCCATGCGGCACTCAAAGACCCCAAATAGTAATATTTTTCAATCAGATACCAAATTAGTATATTGGATGGGAAAAAACTCCAAAGTGGTGAAAGAGCCCTCATATTTATTATTATTTTTTATTACAAAGTTGAAGTTCAATTTTTAGCCCACACTAAATGGTCCAACCCCAGGCCCAATCTCAAATTAAAATGAAACCCTAATTTTATTGTTTCATTGATTGAGAAGTGCAGCCGCCGTCTACCATCACAAGCTCGTGTCACCAAACCAGCGAGAAGGGGCAGCACAAAGAGCTCGTGTCACCGAACCAGCGAGAAGGGGCGGCGCAGTGGAAAGCAGAGACAGAAGTCGTGGATCTGCAACAGCAAGTTAGAAATGAAGTGAGGCCGAGGGCAACACGAGGAAGAAGAACGAAGCACTCTTGGCAACGACGACGGAATGCTTGGCCGTGGTGATTGATTTAAAAAATTTTACTTTTTTGCCACTTGACAGTGTCCGATACGGTCAAAATCGCATTTCGGAATGATCAATGTGTCTTAAAATATTGACCACATGTCGCGTGTCGGTGTCCGAACATAATTTTTCAGATAAAAAGCGAGCACGTGCTTCGTAACCCATGAACATGTGAGGCACCTCCAATATAAATGTGGGTGTTTTCAGCCGTACGATGGGATATCTACTATAACTTTGCGCCCATTAGAATGTGACGTGGTCCATTGGGTCTAATGTAGGTTTCGATTCAAAACAGTACAAAATTATAAATATAAAATATCTGAGAGGAAGTGATGATTTTCTTTTATGGGATAAGATATTGTTACCACTAAATAATGTTACTATCATATCTTAACGTTAATTTTCGTCAATCAATGGTTATCGTTTATTGTGAATTAATAATTAATTAATGAATTTAATTTGTGAAAATAATAAATGTTGATTGATGAAAACCAACGGTTAAAATATAGTACTAACATTATTTAATAGTAACAATATCTTATCCTGAGTATGTTGTAGTCATAAAAGGTAATTTCATGATTTATATAATTTGAATTCATTAGTGGTTTTAGAAGTAATATGAGATCTATGATGAATTATAAAAGAGCATAGATTTAATTAGTGGAGAGGACATGTGGAGTCCAAACTCGATAATTGTCACGCTACTTGTCTCGAAATTAATCCTATACATGCATGGGTTCCTTTTCTGTCCGGGTCATGGGATACCTGAAATTTTGAAAACCAAATTCACTTGGAAAGGAATAATTAGAATCTCGTGACAATAATAAAAAAAAGGGAAAGATATACTCACCACTACAAAAATTTATCACTTTTATAATTAATTTAATCATAGTTGATTTTCATCAATCTAACGGTTATAATTTATTAAAAATTTATAATTAATTAATAAGAGTGACCCAATAATTTCCAATGAATTATAATCGTTAGATTGACAGAAATCAACGGTGATTAAATTGATTATAAGTGTGGTAAATGTTTGTGATGGTAAATATATTTTTCCCCTTATTTATTAGTAAAACAAGGGGCAGGGATAATTGAACTTGCAACCTGGAAAGCACGGACACGGAAAATTTTCAAAATTGTGTGTGTCGGACACGTGTCCGACACGGACACGCGGTCAACTCTCCGACACGTTTCTTCGACACACAATCAACTTTTTTGGACACGCGGTCAACGCTGGACACATTTTTTTTTAATCTTAATTTTATTTTATTAACTAAATATAAAAAATAAATTATAAATTAATTTTTTTCTATTATGAAATTTGACATGAAAAATTAACATAGTACGAAAAATTATTTATATTTATATTTATGTTATGAAATTTAAATATTTAATTGGTTATATGACTTATTATAAACTCTTATATGTATTAAATATAAATTATATTATATATAAAAATTTTATTTAATATCAAAACGTGTCCCAATGTGTCAAAATATGACATTTTTTAGAATTAACGTGTCGGCGTGTCGTATTGTGTCCCGTGTCAGTGTCCGTGCATCATAGCTCGCAACCACTTGTTTACGAAGGTTTTGATACCGTGTTAAAAAATTAATTTAACCTAAAAACTTAAGATATTAAGTGAAAGCTACATTAACGAATTTATATAATATTTCTCTAACAAACGTTGGAGTTTTGTTTGGGAATTTTTATTTTTAGCTTTTTTTCTTCTTATAAGTAGAAATTTAGTCAAATATATTTTTATAAAAACTCATATCATAAAAGAGCTTTTCATTATAATAAATAAACTAGTAAAAGCTAAAAGCTCATATATACCACCCTTTTAAAGTTTTCATATATTTATTTCTCAGTTTCACTGTTATTTTAAATTTATATTGATCAATTTTACTTTTACTCTAATAATCCATCATAATAACAAATTATTTCATCTTTTTTCTCCTTCAAAATTATCATATCAATTTTATATAATCACCAAACAACTTTTAACTTTATTTGTTAAGTTTTTTTTGTTAACTTTAGTTTAAAAATACTTTTTAACTTAATTTTTTTTTGTCAAACAAGCCCTTAATTGCCCTTTATGCCTATTACTGTTCTTACATACTTATTAGAAGTGATTTGTAAATTATGAACGGTCTTCTACTTGTCTTTCTGCATTGTGTGTTTCCTTTTATTTTGAGAGGATTAATGTTTCTTCTCTAAATAGAAGATAATTTTGTGATTTATCTCTTGTATATATATATATATATATATATATATATATATATATATATATATATATATATAGAAGTAAGTGGGATATGACAAAAAGAAGAAAAAAATAGAATTCATCCATTTTTATATATACACAGAAAATAAAATTATTTTTTATTTACGAAAAAAATATTAAACCCTCGTTTGAGTGACTACAATCTTCTTCAGGGTTTTTTTTTTTTTTAGTAATTCTTCATGGGAATTTTGTTTGCCTTAGGAGACGTTTGGTATAGGAGAAATTTTTTTTCATGGGAAAAATGGTTGGAAGTATTTTTTATCGGGTAAGTTACGAAAAGATATTTGGTAGGCCAAAAAGTTTTCCGAGAATCTTGTGTTAATTTTTACAAATTATGTTTGGTTGATTGTAAAAAATGATGGGAATCTTATATAAAATTACCAAAGTATCCATAAATTTAAATATTTGTTGAATTTATCTTGTAATCAAACGTAATAATTTACCTCTTAGTGTCCAATTACAGGCTTTAGACCCACTGCATGCACGAGTTGGCTTGTCGTACCAACATTCATTCTGGTTTTCGTAATTAAATATCGGGGAAAGTACTTCTTATGTAACTGCAGAAGGGAAAAAGTGCAGCAACACTTTCTTTTATCAGGATACGCGTCCGAATCCTGGTTTTTTTTTTTTTTTTGATAGAATCCGCACGTGTATCCTAATGTTAAAAATTTGCTGCAACTTTTCTCATCAACAGTCACATGAGAAGCAACGGACCCTTAAATATTATCCTAAACATAAAGAGTGAAGACCTTCACATCTGTAAAAAAAAGATTACACATCTAGAAAAAAGCTTTTGGTTCAGACTAAAGGGTGTAAGGGTGTTTTTGTCTCACAAAACATTTTTTACTTTCCCCCCACACGGTGAGTTTTTTATTCCATGTTTTGAATGACAAAATCTTAAACTCAATTCATGTGAAAAATAATTGGATGGGAGATATTTTTTCCAATCTTCAATTTAGTTCTCCTCCTACCAAACATTGCAAACTTATTTTCTCTACCACTCTTTCGAGGGCAAAAATTTTTTTGCATCGTATCAAACAGCTCCCGAGAGTGTGAAACTAAGATATATTTTTCTCAGTACCTAAACAGGAAAGTATACCATCTTTTATTTTCTCTATTTAAGTTAGCGTGTTTCAGTTTAAAGGCGTCCGAATTTTTCCAATTATTATTATGAGAAGTCAACAATCAAGATTTATTAAATTTTATCGTGAATCTTAACATTTATTACTTTCTCTTTTGTTACTATTCTGTTCAGTCTTCAAGATGTTTATAGAAGTGATGTTAAATCCGAACAGGACGTACGGTAGGTCCAACCAATTGAACTGGGAATCAGATCCCAACCGGTTTCGCCAATAGATCGGATTTGCAATCAAACGATAAGAAATTGGTGAACCGATTAAAAATTATTATTATATTTATTATATATTAGACTTTGTTTTTTCTACAGTTACTGCAGATAAATTATCTGCGAGCCCAATACGACGTCGTTTTGGGCAGAAATCATGGTGTTTTTATAATTTTAATTTATTTCAGTATTATAATAGTCTTTATACTTATAATTTTTTAAGATTTCAATACCAAAACGATGTCATTTTGAGAATAAATGCAGATAACTTATCTGCATTAATTGCATAAACATTTTTCTCTATATATTATTATATAACTTTGGTTTAATCAGTTTAATAACATTGATTTATAAGCATGTATTTTATACTTAATAATTTTATGAGACAGAATTCTTTGATATTAGTATCAATTTTTTTAATTAAATTAAAGTTTGACACAAATTTTAATCGATGATTTCTATCAATCTGACGGTTATAATTTATTGGATCAAATTTATTAATTAATTAATAATTTTCAATAAATTATAATTGTCGATTAACGAAAATGAACGTCTAAGATTTGGTGTCAAACTTTTTAGTTTGACTCCAGTATTAAATTTGTAATTTTATGTATTAAATTGAAATTTAATTTGTAAGAGTAATAAATTTTTTTAAAGAATTATATATATTATTCTTAATTTAATTTTGCATATATTGTCTACAATTTCAAGTATTTTTAATTTACACTTTTTAAATTTTTTCTAAAATTAATTATGTGTATTCCTTTATAATTTTTAACATTTCAAAAATTATTTTAATTTATATTTTACCTAAATTTAGAAGCTTCTATTTTTTATTTTAATTGTAAAATAGGCAAATACACACCTTTAATCAAAATCTGTTTTTGGTACAATTAGGCTACAAGAAATAGAAATATTCAATAGTAATATTAATTACGATATGCCGAATGCAAGGCTTTTGTCTTCTTAATATTGTATATATCTTAAAATATACTTTTTAGTTGAATTTTCAATGATTTTTTGTGGTGTATAATATTTGTCGACTCAAAGAATTGACGACTATACATAGGTAGGTGTAAGAAGACTATATTAAGTATAAACAACGAAAAAAAAGGTTTCCGAAAATGGAAGGAGAACAGAAGTAGTAGATGCATGGATTGTGTGCCGAATAAACAACGTCTCTGATTGCTTCTCTTTATCTCCCTATATATGGCAAAAAAAAATTAAATTAATGCTTTTTAATAAAATAATTACGCATTTATTACAACTTTAAGAATAATTACAGATCTACTGCACAATGTGACGCCCCTATTGGGCGTCACATGTGCAGCCTTGTAAATACTCTCATTTTTACCATTTCACTTATCACTCTAATTACCATTTCACCTCTCTCTAACCACCGATTGTGCTTCCGACTGAACGCAGAAATTTTCGTAGCAAAGCTCTGCCAACTTAGGTAAGTTCGTAATACCTGCTATTTATACGTTTAAATTACAGTGCTACCTTGCGAACATGTTAGGATTTATCGTATATTAGAGACTTAGAACATAAGGATAGTCACTTAAAATTTTTGTACCATTCTATGAATGTTGTAATGATTTAGTAATTTTTTTGTTACGTAGTTATTATTATTAATATTTAATTAAGCATTGGGGTTTGGCGTATTAATTAGTGATTTAGAAAATAGTGATAGTGACTTCGTAAATTTTGTATGATGTTATTATTAGTACATATTTATGAAATTATTAGTGACTTAGGGTTACTTGATTATCACAATACAGTTTGATAGGTGCATGTGATTAATTTCAATGTTGTTTTATATTTTATAGTTTAGGGTCATGGCTGATTCATCATCATCTTCGGGTTCTGCATCGGATCTAGAGCCTACCGATCCTAGCATGTACATCATACCTGGGCCTTATAAATGGAACGTCCTTCGTAAGAGGACACAGAGTGGCCATATTTCACAGAAAGTGTGGAATACGAAACATGTGAGGAGACTGAAAACCAGGCGTGGGAGACCACCAGGGGGGCCACCTACCGGCGCTATTCCAGAGGTGGTCACAGACTACCTTACACAGGCTGGATTTATACATGTTGCCCGCATGCGACATATCCAGGTATGCAATTTCTGGCGTTTTGTATTTATGTGATTATTCAATACCATTCGTTAACACGTGATAATTGTATAATTTATTTCATATTGATGCCCCATTAATTAGTGTTCTGGTCGAGAGGTGGAGGCCAGAGACACATACTTTCCACATGACCCAAGGTGAGATGACTATCACCTTGCAGGATGTGGCCGGCATATTGGGATTGCCTACTGATGGCATTGTCGTAACCGGATCTATATCCGAGGATTGGCCCACTGTTTGTGCTGCTGTTTTTGGCGCGGTTCCACTGGCCAGTGAGTTTCATCATTCAGGTGACCTCCGCATCTCATTCTTGGATCGGTTATATACCCGGTGGACTAATCATGTCGGGGATCATGATCGCGAGATATATTTCACAAAGGCGCACATTGCCCGCATGTTGGGGTGTTGGTTGCTGGTGGACAAGTCTGGAGGTAGCAATATCGGTTGTCGGCTAGTCCCGTTGCTTGGGGGAGGATTTGATGAGATTGGCCGTTTTAGCTGGGGATCTGCGGTTCTGGCACACTTGTTCAGGAATTTGTTCGAGTGTACAGATGCCGGTCGATTTGACATGGGTGGTTGCCATATTCTTCTTCAGATTTGGGCATGGATACGATTCTCACCCATTGCTCCACTTCTTCCTCCTCATCCAGAGCCTAGAACGCATTATGGATGCCGGTATGCTTTATTAAATTCATTCGATTTCGCTAATGAGTTATCGGCATATATATGGCCCCCTTCAAAACCCTGTTCACAGATTCTGCCAAGTTTGTTGTCATATGCTCGTACCTGCGTCCTTCAAGATCGTAGGCACGCGACCACTTTTCCTTAGGGATGACATCAATCCACTCAGCAATTTGAGGATTAGTTTCACAGAAGCTCGCAATATTCCTTTCAAAATCAACCATTGTAATATAACACAACACGAACAGAATTAGGATATGAACTCATTCTTAAATAGAATAAGGAATAAAATTAAAATACTAAATTAAAGATAAAGGATTATGTATGTATGCTGTCAGGAATTTTGGTAGAGAAGAGAGATATGAAGAGTGAGAGAAGAGGTGTGAAGAGTGAATAGAGTGGTAGGGGAATATATAGGGCTGCACATGTGATGCTCCATTGAGGCGTCTCTCCTTAGGGTGAGACACCTCAATGGGGCGTCACATGTGACGCCAAATAGAGGCGTCACATTGTGCAGTAGATCCGTAATTATTTTCAAAATTGTAATAAATGCGTAATTATTTTATTAAAAAGATTAATTTTTTTGCCCCCTATATATAGTAATACTCCATCATACATCTTAAGGTAAGCCAAAATGAAGAGAGATAGATACCGAAGATCGAGGTGCAAGAAGAACATGAACCTGTATATGCCTCGGGAATTGTTAGCTCAAATCCTATTGAGGTTGCCGGTCAAGTCTCTTGTCCTTTTCAAGTGTGTGTCTAAGTCATGGCTTTCTCTCATCTTCGATTCCGACTTTGCAATATCGCATTTTGAACTAGCTGTTGCACGAACTCATAGACTCGTGTTCTTTGCTGCTGCTGCTTCTGAAGCTTGGTCCATAGACTTACATGCATAGCTTTACAATCATTCTTCTTATGCTGCAGTAAAGCTTGATTTTCTGCTTCCCCAATCTAATTCTCATGTTCAAATTATAGGTTCCTGCAGAGGGTTTTTACTTTTGGATTGTTGTACAAATCTCTATATATGGGAATATACAGATTTGTACATTTTTGGGTTCTTACAATCATGATTATTTTTCTTTGTACATTCTCACGAACAAAGTGGCAGTCTACTTCTATGTGTTTGGTCCTTTCGTGAAAAATCGGATTCGATGCAATGTGAATGGCTACTTGATTATCACAATACAGTTTGATAGGTGCAATTGGCCTTTTGTTTGTCAAATCAAAAAGGAGATTGCGAAGCCAAATGAGCTCACTAGTTGCGGAGGCCATATATCGGTATTCAGCTTCTGCACTAGACCGTGCCACAATGCTTTGTTTTTTACTTTTCCATGTAACAAGATTGCCTCCAACAAAGGTGCAAAATCCAGATGTAGATCTTCTATCAAGGGGGTTTCCTGCCCAGTCTGCATCAGCATAGCCAACAATCTCTGTATTGCCATTTTTCTTCATCCAGATTCCTTTTCATGGACAAGATTTCAAGTACCTGAGAACACGATCCACCAAATTCATATGACCGCAGGTAGGAGCATGAAGGAACTGACTGATATAACTCACTGTGTAGGATATGTCAGGCCTAGTTATTGTAAGATAGATTAGTTTGCCAAGCAGTCTTTGGAGCAGTCTAGGATCACGTAGAGGAGTAGAATCACATTCAAATTTACTATTGAAATCCATGGGTGTGTCAGCAGGTTTGGCCGCTAATTTTCCAGTTTCCTTCAGTAAATCCAACACATATTTCCTTTGTGAGATGAATAGCCCTTTGCTTGAATTTGCCACATCGATTCCAAGAAAGTACCTTAAGTGCCCCAAATCCTTGATGTCGAATTTCTTGTTGAGGTATCCCTTCAATTTCTCCATCTCAACAAGATTATTTCCTGAAATGACTATGTCATCTACATAAATCAACACAACAACAATACTTTCAGAGTAATGTTTCACAAACAAAGAGTAATCCAATTCACTTCTCTTGAAGCCAAAATATGTCAAGGCCATTCTCAATTTTCCATACCAAGCTCGTGGTGATTGTTTTAACCTGTAATTTGCCTTCTTCAGTTTGCAAGCTTTTCCTAGCTGATTTTCAAGGGAATGCCCAGGAGGAATGTCCATGTATACTTCTTCTTCCAGATCTCCATGTAAGAATGCGTTCTTCACATCCATTTGGAACAACGGCCAGCCAAGGTTCACTGCTACAGACATTAAGACTCTTACAATGTTTAATTTGGCCACAGGAGCAAAGGTTTCAGTGTAGTCCTCTCCATATGTTTGAGTGTACCCTTTTGCAACCAGACGTGCTTTGTGTCGCTCGATGGTACCATCACTCTGATATTTTATTTTGTAGATCCATTTGCATCCAACCGTACGCTTTCCTTCTGGTAAGGTCACAATTTCCCATGTATGATTCTTATCAAGAGCCACCAGCTCATCAGTCATGGCTGCACGCCACTCTGGTAATTTATATGCTTATGCATAATTTACAAGTTCACAGTGCTTATCTACGGTGGCAAAAAATGATATGTAACCAGTAGATAAATTGTTGTAGCAAATATAACTTTGAATAGGGTGAGCAACAACCGTGGAAACAAAGTCTTGTAATTTAGATGGAGGTTTGCTTGTTCTACTTGACCTTCGTAGTTGCTGTACATCCACATTTGTGGGTTGATTTTCTGGTAATGTCGTAATCTCAACAGGTTCTAATTGATCTTCAGGAATTTGGGTAGTCTCCTCATGCTGAGCCTCTAGAGGAATTTGGGCAACCTGCTCAGTTGATCAACATGTTGGATTTGTGTGTGTTCTGGTAAGTAGTTCTCTTTCATTGTTGGCCTTGGAGAATAAAAATCAAATAGTCCTTTGATATGGATCTCCCCTTGATTTTTATTCTTATGAAAAAACATGGAATTCTCGTCAAAGTAAACATCCCTAGAAATATATAATTTATGTGTCGTGGGATCATAACAGTTATATCCCTTTTTAACTGAAGAATAGCCTAAAAAAATGCATTTCCTCGACCGAGGTTCCAATTTGTTACCTGTTTGGATATGCATATAACAAGTGCAACCAAAAACTCGTAAATAGGACATATTTATTTGTCTATTGAGCATAATTTCCATAGGCGACTTAAATTGTAAAGTTCTACTAGGAATACGATTGATGAGATAACAACTGGTGAGGATAGCAAAAGACCAATAGGCAGATGGCAAATTAGCATGAAATAGAAGAGATCTTGTGACCTCTAGAAGGTGCCTATTTTTCTTTCAGCAACGTCATTCTGTTGAGGAGTTCCTACACAAGAAAGTTGGTGAACAATGCCATTTGCTTTAAGAAAATGCTAAAAAGAACCATTAACATATTCACTACCGTTATTAGTGCGCAACATTTTAATGCCAAAACCATATTGAGTTTTAATCATATGAAAAAACTCTTGGAAAATAATTCCCACATCATCTTTTGATTTTAACAAATATAACCACATGCATCGAGATTTATCATCAATGAATGTAACGAACCATCGAAAACCATCTATTGATTCAACCGGGGCAGGTCCCCACACGTCAGAATGAACCAAATCAAACAATTGAAGAGAAACATGAGAACTATCATTAAAAGGTAATCTATGTAATTTGGAGAACCGACAAGTTTCACAACTACTTGAATCAATGGAAAATTTAGAGTCAAGACAATTTAAAATTTTAGAAGATGGGTGTCCCATACGCAAATGCCACAATGTTGAATCATCCCTATGGGTTTCACTCAGACCTTTGTTAACGTCATTCAACAAATATAATCCATTATGTAGAATTCCTTCACCAATCTTCTTCCCTGTCGGAATATCCTGAAACACCACCTTTTTGGAGAGAATATGACATTGCAATTCAAGTCATTAGTGATTTTAGCAACTGATAGTAAATTTGCAGATAAAGAGGGAATAAATAATATATTAGATGTTTTGTCAAAGAAGTCAATTGTGCCAATCCCTTCAACGAAAACTTGATTTCCATCGGCTACTGAAATAGGAGGAATATTTTCTGCAGTAGAGATATTGGAAAGACATTTGGATTCATAGCACATATGTTCAGTGGCACCGGAATCAATTATAAATGAATGAGCTAACTGACTAGAAAGAGTAAAGGCCTTACCAGATTGAAAAAGATGAGTGGCAGAATTAAGGTATTCTTGTAATTGTAGAGCTAATTTTCCAAGTGTGGATTGAAAATCAGTTGATGGTTCATGGGTCTGAGTTGCAGTTGTTAGAGCTCCAATTAACTTATCTTTTTTAGTTTTCAAATAGGGGTAGAGCACCCAACACCGATCCCGCGTGTGTCCATCTTTTTGACAGTGTGTACAATGATACTTAAAGCTACGACCTTTGTCTTTGCTCCTGCCATGAGTGCGACTAACATTGCAAACAAAGGAGGAAGACAATGGAGTATGAGAATTTATACCTGAAGCAGTGGTATTGGGTCTAGAGGCTGCATGATGGGCTGTAATTTCATATCGATCTTCACCAAAAATATTGACTGGATTCATCACCCGCCGACGAGTTTCTTCCTTTTGAATAATGTTACAAATTGTAGCAAAGGAAGGTAGAGGACTGGTCATCAGAATCTGGCGCTTGACTTCTTCATATTCTGGTCCCACACTGGCAAGAACCATGAATATACGATCATGTTCTTCACGCTTCACATATTCTTCAAGTGTGGCAGCCTTTGGCCTATATTGTTTTAATTCATCCCACCTTTTTTTCATCTGATCGAGGTGCTCATTGAAGGATTGAGACTGTTGTTGTTTTGTTTGACAAAGCTCTTGCTGCAATTCAAAAATTCTAGAGGCATTATTTTGGTTTCCATAGTGGTCTTTGATGGATTCCCACAATTCTTTGGCTGTTTCAGAATAGGCAAAGATTTCATAAATCTCTGGTTCCATGAAATTAAAGATCCATGTCATCACTTGATGGTCATTGGCCTTCCATGTTTCATATCGTGCATCTGCAATGGCTGGTGGTTCGCTAGAAATATGGCTACTTTTCGATCGGCCACCCAAAGCTATGGAAATCGCCCTGGCCCAAGGCAAATAATTTCGGCCATTAAGAAGAGAGATGGTCTCCAGCGAACAACCCTTGTCTACGGTGTTGGCCATGATAGATGAG